CAAGGTAGTGAAAAATTAGTTGTAATATCCCTTTAGTCATTTCCTGAATCGGAAGCTGGAATGGGAAGCTAACTTCAGCTTCGTAAATAAAAAAAAAGGTAAAATTTCTGGATCAAAACACGCTGCAGTTGAAACTTACATTTAATAATGAGCTTTGCAGCCTCCTGGAGCTCCTCAGGTAGTCTCAGRGTGTTCAGGTGGGACAAACCTGGATGTCTCTTGTGGGGTTCTCCTTTCAGGAAGTCAACTTTGGGTTGTGGGTTGGCAACGGTACTCAGACACTGAAGGAAAAAAATTAAATGATTAATATCTCACACATCAATTAATCAAGAAAATAGTTCTAAAATAGTTACATTTCAGATATTCTCCATAGATAACTCTGTACTTAGAAAGACATTCATGTTGTGCCACACATCACTATTTTAAAACGTGTTTTTGAAGGTGTTTAGAAGGCGATAACTTTACTTTATTTAAAACTGTGAGATACATGTAGAATCTATAACTTCATGGTASCTTAGAAACCGTCAGGAAGAACAGTATTTATTTGTTTTTAATTATGACAAAAAGAAATATGTGCTAAGCAGGGATTTGTCTGATTTTTCTTTTTAGAGACAATTCGCTTCACTACGGTTTACGGCAATTGAAATGAGACATTACTGATGAAATCCGCTTTATAAAAGCTATACATATTCTTCTAACAAATAACTTTACTACACTGAGCTAAAATAACGTTTRAGTTTAGCTAATATCTGACCTCACAGACTGTGAAGATGATGCGTTCAATGACACCCACTAACAGTACGCACCCTGAAAGGTATTTTCGTCGCAGACGCCCTCAGACAGAGAACAGAGGCTGTGTAGCTCAGAGTCGCCATGTCCTCGATGTCTAAACAGAGTTCAATATCGTTAACAAATCAATCTTCATCCAGACGTCGGTAAACCACACCAACTTGTTACCGAGCATCAGCGAAACAATTCCGACCGTCAACCAAAGCGGAACGTTCATCCGGAAAGTTTTGTTCCTATGTCATGAAAATAAATTGAGTGCTCACTATGTCTTTGTTTGCCTGTACGGCCCAACAMCAGTTATATTCAGTTTATGAGATAGACATAAAACTGGTTGAGTTGAGGTCACTTTAACTCTTCAATGCAACAATACCCAACTGAAAAGTCATATTTACAATTATTTGTTTTAAAGTTTGGTTTCTGCAATGGTAACTGCCTCAACCGCCCGCCGTGGCAACCTACATCGATTGAGTCGTCTTCGTATTAAACGATCTTTGGTAGACTTCGCTCTTCTGCCGTCCTGTCCAGAAAACAGCCGCAGAAGAAGAAAGTTTCCCGCCGTGGGTTTGTTGTTAAACCTTGGCTCTTTCCTTTTTTATCGTTTCTAGTTAAAAACACATTTTACAAACCATGAGACGAACCAGAAGTTCGAGAAACACCAGCCAGAAGAACGCTGCAGAAAACAGAGACGTCAAYACCAAAACAGGTTGGTGCTTGATTAGCTTAACATTTTAGCCACCTGGTCTGGACTGTTTAAATWTGTCTGAATTAAAGACCACTAAAATATAAACGTCATGAATTAGTATTTATTGAACWAGAGATTCAAGTAATTCAAGTAAAGAATAATTTAATGTATGATCATTTCTGCACCTGTCAAATCCTTTAGACATGTGTTGTTGTTATTATTGTTAAATAACTTCATTATCATAAACTAAAGGCCTTGCAGTCCTGCCCTAKCACATCATATTATTTGTGTTTACACTAACATCTCTAATATTGCATGTTCAATGTATTATTTTGAATGAAAGGAAATTTAAAAAATAACAAATATTAAGCAATTCTTTAGGTGCTCACTTGGGTAAAAATGTCTCAAATTGGTAATTATTTGGAAATTATTAAGTGTTATACAAATATGTTAGCTTTGCAATATGTGCTGTTTGAAACAAAGTTTAGCAGATTTTTCTTTTTTATTAAAATAAAGCARTTAATAGTGACTAAATCAAACTCAAAGGGTTAGATTGTCAACATAAACAAAAGAGGAAAGGAAAATCACAGGGTTAAGCTCTTTGTGTTTTCAGTTTCTAATTGTTTCACAGGTATTATTGTTGAATGCATTCATTTTAAATGCAGTATTGATTTACAGCCAACTTATTTTTTTTCAATCTGCGATCAGTTTGGCAGTGGGAAGGCGATGAAGGACAGTGGGAGTCGTACCCGCCCTCCGCCTGTGCCTTGCTGGATTCGACCGCCTCTTCGGGGAAGACGTCGGTCACGCTGACTCTCGGCTCGGGGACGGCGTACGAAATTAACCTGAAGAAGATGGTTCAGATTAATCCTGTGACCAARTACAAAAGAAAGATTCGATCGCAGACGGTTAAAGCTGGTGTGTATCTGGATTGATTACCTGATTTTGTAATGGCAYGATCATCAAAATGCTTTTATTATCTGACCTGTTGACTCTGAAGTTCGTGTTGAGGCTAACCGTCTGCTAATACCACACCAAACTTTAACTCAATGGGCCTCATGCAAGAACATGTTCGTATTCTTATCCTAAATTTCTCTTACTTTTGTTCGTACGAAGGG